ACCTGCTATTAATTATGGTGTCCCCCACGCCCCAGACGGCGTTTATAACCCGCGGAAGCAAGCGGTGCTGTCTGCTTCTGTTTTAAAACGGGAAAAGTTGGAAGTGGAGTGCCTGGTCGTGTTGGAAAGTGTTAATCAGTAGGAAAGAGTGTAATCAGTGGAACTATTCACTTGAGCGTCACTCTGGTACAGGGGGTTAGTGAAGTGGCTGTGGCGCCTGGGGACCGAAGGCTCCGTGCCGCGCCGCGCCGCGCAGGTACCGCGCACTGAGACATGTCTGCGTTAGCTCCCCGCAGCTCCCTGCCACGCCAGCCAGCACAGACCAGAGGAGAGAAGCCCTGCCATGGCACAGCCGTCGCTACCCGGTTTTAGCCGAAGCCTGGCGTGATCACAGGTAAAAAAATTTCTTCTTCTCTCCTTGGTGATGTTTGTGTGTGTGTATGTGTATGTGTGTGTGTCTCTCTCTCTACGGAAGCGGGGGGTGGGGGGAGCAGTGGGGCTTATCCCCCCCTCCTCCTTCGGAGCCTGCTTTAGCAGCAAGGCAGCTGAAAACGAACTGCTGGAGGGAAGAGAAACTATCTGTGATGAATCATTTGGCTTTGTGCAATCTTTACCTAGTACAGAGGGCAAATGTCTTGTAACATATGTGTATTATTTCTTGGGAAAGGGGTGTGAATATGATATTCAGCGAGCGCTAAGGTAAGGTACCAAGTCAAACTTTCTGGATTTTAAGGCGAACTTTAGAAGGCACAGAATTTGACCTTGCAAGCAGTAAAGTTTTACCTTCGCGGGGAAGTAAGTTGAAGCTGTCGGCTGCCAGAGAGCTCAAAGGTGGTGGTGCCTGAATGCCTGCGGGTCTGCGGCACTGGGGGTACAGGAGCTGGGAAGGGAAACCTTATACAATCTTTACTTTGCTAATGAAAGCATAGTTGTGATGCTCTGCACCGAACAGGTAAATGTGTGAATGCTGTAGGGTTCGTCTACAGCCATAGAGCAGCTGCCCGGGTTACAACGTTTGCTTCTCTTGCTGAAAAGTTTTGTGTGCATGTGTGTGTGCGCGCTCTCGTGTGTGTGTGTGTGTGTGTGTGTGTGTGTGTGTGTGTGTAAGAGAGAGAGAGAGAAAGTGTTGGCTGTAGTATTTAAGTGTGAAAAGTTAATAAATACAAAGAACAGAGTGAGCATGTGAGGCCTTTCTGCTTTAATCTAGATTGTTTGCCAAGAGGATTGAAGACTTACAAAATGAAAGCATTCAAATGGATAGCTTTGAACAACTGATTTTACTTGTAGTTGTAATCTGAGTAAATAATTAGCGGCTCCTTCTTATGCAACCTTTCTGTTGGTCATCATGGCTCTGCCGAGCCCAAGCCAAACCCAGGCATGGGTTTGTGCAGATCGGTAGCATCGGTTCGCTGTCCCTTGATTCAGAGTGAAGGAGGTGCACTTACACCTCAAATAGGCTCGGGGGGAGGGGGGGGAAGAGGGGAAACGACACGGGACCGTATTTACTATTGAGAGCGAGTTTATGAGATAATCTACTTGAAAATTGTGTAGGCTGCCCTAGGTTCCATGTCAGATTCCAAATAGGCAACATGTAGAGCTTCACAGTGTTTGTCAGGTGGTCTCAAGGTTGCTTTAAATCTGTAACATGAAAACAAAGCAAACTCGACTGAAAGAGCTTTCTAAAGTCTGTTTAGCCCATTAGCAAATTCCGTCGCTGAAATATTTCCAGGAGTGGCAATAAGTCCTCCAAAAGAGAAGGCGATGAAAACGCAGATAGTAAGTGTAGCTGCATTAACTGCCTCTAGATCATGTCCCTGAAGAAGTCCATCAAAGTATGAGTCCTGAAGAGGTTCTGTTTTACCTGCTGTGGCCTGTTCTAGCATCATAGTGTTTCCTTCTCATTCCATGCTTTTACAATAAAACTTGTATGAGCGTTGGTTCCAGGTTCTTGGACAAGAAACACGTAGCCCTGGGAGAGAGACCTCGCTTGGGCTTTGGATGGGAAATACCTGCTTGCCTGGGTGTGCAGGCTGGCTCTGACCAGAAGGGAACTCTCCAGCGTTTTCTATTGATCGCGAGGGGTTTCCTTCCTCAAAGTTTGGAGAAAGCAGTGTGTGTGTGTGTTTCTCTTTCTCGAAAGCTGTTAACTGCTTTGTACAGGAAAAGGGCTTTGACAAGGATCAATTTTTATTGCACAGCAAAGACTTGCATTTTCCAAATGCTTAAGGATATAGCCCACGGCATTAAGCGTCTTTGCTTGGATTTGAACAGTGTTACGTTGTTTATGTGAAAGAACCACAAAGGTTATTTTAAATCATTGTGGGGCTTAATGCATGTTTGTGCTCTGGCACCAAAAATTCAAGATGAAATATAATTGTGTTGAGTTTCTTATCAACAAAGGGCCATTATTTGTAGACTGTAAGTGAAACAAGACATCAACAGTGGGGAAGGATGTAATGTCAGCTTTTAGTGTTTAAGGTTATTAAGGGGTTTTTGTCGCTTTCTCTTTTTGTTTGTTTGTTTTGGTGGGGTTATGTTGATGACTGCTTTCTAGGGAATACAGATTGAAACTGACACAAAGCTGACCAGGGGTAAAGTAATAGAGCAGGCAGGCTGCAAAGAAAAATGGCAAATAATTATCATGATTAATACAGGAAAGTTCAGTGCAAAAATGAGCACAGAGTATTTGCATGGCACAGTGAAAGACAACTGTGATACATAAATAGACAAGGACCATAAATATTGAATTTTTTCTTGTATTTTAAAGTTTAATAGACTCATCTAAATATCAAAACCTGTAGTGTTCTGTGGGCCACTGCGGAGTTGACATCTGCAGTATTATCAAAAGAAGGGGAAAAAACCCCAAACCCACAACACTAGGACGTTTCCCAAACTGTAGCCTGGAAAACTGGGAGGACTTCTTCAGGCAGCTCTCCAGCTCTCCCAGCTAATTATAGTGCTTTACACCGAGCCGCTCTTGAGATAAGTGCAACTATTTTCTTTCCTAGCACCGATGAGTTTTACTCCGGAGCTTAAGCAAACATCACCCAGCGCAATGGGCACAGGAGGCAGAGGGAGCAGCACCGAACACTGCGTGCATACCATTGTGTAAACACTGCGTGTCTTTTCTTCCCAAACAATGCGATAGCCCGTCAGTACGCTGCACAGAAGGAAGCTGCTCGTAAAGAGTCTCTAAAAGTGTCATTATACCCTGGCAGCACCAGGGTATAATACAGGAGGAGGAATATAGGCGCGTTTCTGTAAAGGAAACCCAATGGCAAAGTTATTAATATTCTCAGAAAGAAAGGGGAATTAGCATTTCAGGTGAGGGACGAAAAAGCACTTTCTTCCCCTCCAAAAATCAATACAGAATTCCAAACAGATTATTTATGTCATTTGACTCCCTTTCTTTATACGTTTCTCCAGGCTACAGATACTGAGCTGTCAGGATAATTTGCATGTACTGTATCTGATATATTTTATTTGCAAACACTCTAAAGCGCCATAAAACGCCTCTTGTTGCAGTCTAACTCAATCTGAGAACTAGTATTTTCATCTGTAAATTAAAGCAATTACGCATCAGATATTATATTATGTGTACTGTGGTCTCCAGATAGTCATCAATCACCCTCAATCGAGCTGTCAGTGTGGGCAGATTCGTTTCTGGGAGGCAGTCTTCCAGCTGGGGAGAAGAAGAGAACATCATCATTAATTAGAGTGTGACCCTGGGGCTATTCACATGTCTGAACCCAGGAATCTCTCTGAGCAAGTCTGCACACCACAGAGCAGCGTTCAGCTGCACCAGCAGCCCAGCTTCAGCCTCGGAGCTGACTTCTCTGCTTCCTCCATCCTCCCGAGGGCTGCCTGCTCGCCCTGCTTCGGTGGCATCGGCCGTCGGGGAGGAGATGCTGGGGCTGCCAGCATCCTCCCCCGACGGCCCGTTCCTGCTCCCTCCGAGGGTGAAGCAGAAGGGGATGCTGCCTGCTCGTGTGTGCGGGGGTCCCAGATCCCCAGAGGGTAGGGAGGTTGATGGCAGCGGTGGGATGGGTTGGGCAGAAGGGAGTGCTGGAGGTTTGAGATGGGATCAAAGTCATTTTAACGTGAAAAGTCACATCTTTTCCATCATTCCCCGAAAAGTGCTTGTAGGGTTTTCTACCTGTAATCACACGTCTAGAATAAAAGCCGAAAAGAAAAGCAGGATTGCTTATTATGTGCTTTATTGTCAGCGTTAGCTCTAATTTTAACTGTTGATTAAATCTTAAATGAAGACTCAGTCGTGTGTCCCTTCATATGTCTTGTTTGTAATTGAGACTAATTATTACTGTGGGGTGGGAAGAAGCAGCTGCTCATTAATTAATTTCTAATTAAAAGTGCTTACTAGCCTTTCAGTGACTAAGGAGGGTGAGGAAAAATCTTAGCTGATACAACATTGATCCTTCAGATTAAAAACATTAATTTCCTTCCCTTGCCCGCAGAAATATATATAAATATTGCAAGCAGGCGTTGCCGCTGCCGGAGAGCTTCCCAAACTTTCGCCCCTATTAGGCAGTCTGAAAGCGATGCTGGAGAGTCTGTTTTCCACGCCAGAGGAAAGGGTCCCGAAAATGAGTGTTAAACTTACAGGCAGGTTAATTTTAATAGGTTTTTCGTGACGTCAGAGCCTTGACTCTTTTAAAACATGCTTGTGAACTGATGTATTTGTATCATTTTTCTTTTTTTCCTTGGGTGCAAAGTAGGTATTTCTACTATCACGTATGCCAGCCTTGGAGCCAATGTAACAATTATTTCTGTTTCGTAGTGAGGAAGGCGCTAAAATCACTGTATATATTTTAAAAGGGGGGGGGGAAGTTTAAGATTTCATGTAAATAAAGTAAATGTGCTTTTCTGCTTCGTCCTATAAGCATCTAGGGACCTGTGGTTACCAATCAATTGGTACAACAGAGCAGAGCCAGGCTGCAATAGCGTGCAGATCAGACGTCTCGCCTTATTTCTAGATAACTGGGAGCCTCTGTACCATGTCCTATCCTCAGTTTGGCTACCCTTACTCCTCTGCACCCCAGGTAAGACTTTTTGCCTACCAACGTTAATTGAGTGAATTTCAGTCCTTATCGATGCCTTCCGTCCGGGCTGAGGTCGGCAGCGATCCTCTCCCGCATGCGGCAGCGGCAGAGTGGCTGCTCGCTTCCCAGCTTTCCAAGATGCCCAAGTTCTATGTCGCGCACCGATTTTAAAATGGGAAGAAACACGCTGTATTAGGGTGTTCGGGGGTGATAATGACGCGTGGGGGAGGATTACAGAGATGAAGGAGGTGAGAGAGGGGGCTAGACATCCCCCAACCCCCACCCTCTCCCCCCTCCTTTCTCGTCTTTTTTTTCTTTTCTTTCATGATTATATTCACAGTTTAACAATTAATTAAGGACGTAGTGAGGTCCGGCCCGTACAAACAGAATGGGATATTCTAAGCCATCAGGTTAATAGCAGATGCGTGCGTGGCTGCTACAAATTTGCAGTCAAAATAAATATGCATGAGTGACTTCGAAAAAAAGGTTTAAAAACACAGATGGGAAGCATTGTGCTGCAAGAGGAGGAAACCGGTGTAAACCCGAGTCTTCTGAGAACATCACAGAAAAGTTAGGTTTTAAATGCAGAGGGCCGGAGGAATGCATCACGGAGGATTAAACGTCCACAGTCATGAGGCGTTTGGTTGTTGTTGTTGTTGTGGGGTCTTTAAAAAAAAAAAAATTATAAAATGCACTTCTGCGTTTCTCCAGAGCGTTTCTATCACGACTGAAGTAAAATAGGGAAGGGGAGGGAGGACGGGCGACACCCCAAAGATGGGACCTGATTAAAAAAAAAAAAAAAAAAAAAAAAAGAGAGAGAGAAAAGGAAAACCAAACAAAAAAACCCACCAAAACCACACAACAGAAAAAGAACCGAACCTAAACTTGGTTACACTTCGGGAAGTTCCCTCTGCGCTCAGCGCCGCTCTCTTTCCCTCCAGTTCCTGATGAGCACCAACTCCCTGACGACGTGCTGCGAGTCCAGCGGCCGGACCCTGTCTGAGACGGGGGCGGCCGCCTCCGCCCAGACCCCCGTGTACTGCCCGGTGTACGAGAGCCGCCTGCTCGCCACTGCGCGCCACGAGCTCAACTCCGCCGCCGCCCTGGGGGTCTACGGCGGGCCCTACGCCGGGCCCCAGGGCTATGGAAACTACGTGACCTACGGCACCGAGGCTCCCGCCTTCTACTCCTTGGTAAGCCGCCCGCAGCCGCGGGGGACGGATGCTCCCGCCCGCCAGCCCCGAGTCCCCCCCCACCCCCGCCCCTAGGGGCCAAGGCTGGTCGGCGGGACCCCTCCGCGGGCGGGGACAGCCCCGGGGCTTCTCCTGCGACCCCCGGCCCCGCCGTGCCGCTCCCCGCGTTCGCGTCCAGCGCCGCGGTCCGCAGCTGTTCCAGCCCGGCGGCTCCGTCCTCACGGTAACGCAATTAAAAGTCGCGCCTGACGAGCTGGCGGCCGAGTGCGGAGGGCCCGGCGGGGCGGGCAGTTTAGGGCGACCCAGACCCAGGCGCGCAAAGAATGATGCTCTCTTCCCAGACAGCCTTTTTTCCTTTTTTCCTTCTTTTTTTTTTTTTTTTTTCCCTTTTTTTTTTTTTTTTTTTTTTTTTTTTTCCCCTGCACCGTAACAGCGCGAGTTAATGTCTCTATTGATCTCGCTGGCTGCCGCGGCCGAGGGGCCTCCGGGAAGGTCCGTCGCGCCCCTTGGGGACCCGGGCGGGGGAGCCGGGGCGGGGTCCCCGGTCTCTCCCGGCGGTGGGGGCTGAGGGCGGCGGCGCGGTGTCTCCTGCAGAACAGTTTGGATGCGAAGGACGGGAGCGGGTCTGCGCATGCGGGGATCGCGCCGGCGGCTGCCTACTATCCCTACGATCACACCCTCAGCCAGTACCAGTACGACAGGTAAGCGCACACACACATCCCGGCCTCGTTCGCTGCCCTCCCCCCCGCCGCCGTCCCCTCCCCTACATCGCCTTACCTTCTCGCCCGCCCCGCCAACCTTGCCTCCTCGCCGCTCAGCATCTCCCGGACCCAGACATGTCGCCTCCCCTTTCCCACACCGACACGGGGTCCTCCGCCTCCCCGGGAGGGCGGCAGAGCGGGGGGCGATCCCTCTCCACTGTGGCGGTAATTATCTTTTCCTGCGCGGAGTCAGGCTTAGGCATCCGGTGTATGTTTATTAGTTTTAAACCAGCGCAAACCCACTTAACACACCGTTTCCAGCTCGGAGGCCCATTGGGCGCCGGTGACCTTTCCTGGAGGATGTGCATTAAATATTCAGTCGCAGCCCAGTGTCATCTGCGTTAGATTCCTACAATTTCAGGAACAAAAGGGTAGAGGAGATTACTAATAAAAGGAGTAAGAGGAAATATATTTCTATTAACACTTACACCCTGGGGTCACCCAGATGAATTCTGTTTGGGGAGGACTAATCAAACGACAGGAAAGTGGTATTTCTGTGAGTTTGCAAGCTGCTAGGATTTCCCTGCTGCCCGAAATGTTGACATTGACTTTACCGCAAATAAAACCAGGGGATTCCTTCCCTCTTTCTGCCACCACCGCCAAGGCACAGCGGGAATTTGCATTGCCCGGTGCACTGCTACTGCTAGCTGAACCCTTCCTTTTTGCTTTCCTTCCTCGTCCCGAATTCTCGAGGCAGGTCCCCCTCGTAGAGCTGAGCTGTCCTCATTCCCATTAAAGCTGAGCTGTCTATATCTTCATCCACCTCCCCCCTCTCCGGGACCAGCCGCCCCCCCGGGGGGTGCTGCAGACCAGCAGATCGGGGCCGGGGTCTTGGGATCCCGGGTCGGGCAGGTCCGCGGGGGGCGAGGGTGCGGTGTCACACCGCGGGGGCTACCCTGTGCCCGCAGGTACGGAACGATGGACGGCGGAACGCGGAGAAAAAACGCCACCCGGGAGACGACCAGCACGCTGAAGGCCTGGCTGCAGGAGCACCGCAAGAACCCCTACCCCACCAAGGGAGAGAAGATCATGCTGGCCATCATCACCAAGATGACCCTCACCCAGGTGTCCACCTGGTTCGCCAACGCCCGCCGGCGACTCAAGAAGGAAAACAAGATGACCTGGCCCCCGCGGAACAAGTGCTCCGACGAGAAGCGGCCCTACGAGGAAGAGGAAGAGGAGGAGGAGGAGGAGAGTTCGCAGGAAGAGGCGATGAAGAGCGGGAAAGCCGAGGGTACCCTGCTAAAACCAGGCACTTAGCGGTTCGGCCGAGGGGGCTCGGCCGGCAGCTCGCCCCCGGGGCGGGCCTCGCTGGTGGGGGCGGCCGCGGGCCTGGCTCGTGGGGGCGGCCGCGGGGCAGTGCGGCGCCGACAGTGACCGTGTGTCTTGTTTTTGCTGTCCCTTCCCCCGCCCCCGCCCCGCAGAGCCCACGGGCAAGGAGGAGAAGGAGCTGGAGCTCAGCGACCTGGAGGACTTGGACGCCGCCGAGTCGGAGAGCTCGGAGTGCGAACTGAGGCGGCCTTTCCCGCACCCGCTCCCGCACCCGCTCCCGCACCCCGGCAGCCACCCGCCGCGGGCCGCCGAGCCCCCCGCCAAGATGCCGCCTCCGGCAGCCGCCGGGGAGGAGGAGGAGGAGGCGGCGGCGGCGGCAGAGCGGGCGCGGAGCTGCCTGAAGACGGCGGCGGAGGAGTGCGGCCCCGACCCGCTGGGCGCCCGGCAGCGCGGCTGCGAGTCCAAGATGTGCTTCCAGCAGGGGCAGCAGCTGCTGGAGGCGAAGCCCAGGATTTGGTCCCTGGCGCACACCGCAACCTCCCTCAACCAGGCCGAGTACCCCTCCTGCATGCTGAAACGGCCAGGGGGCTCGGCCGCCGCCGCCGCTCCCGCCCCGGTCAGCGTCATCGACAGACACCAGGATTCGCCGGTCACCAACCTCAGGAACTGGGTGGACGGGGTGTTTCACGACCCCCTGTTCAGGCACAGTACTTTGAACCAAGCCCTGAGCAACACGACAGTTTCCTGGGCTACCACCAAAGGAGCCATTCTGGAAACGGGCGCCCTGGGACGCGCGGTGGGGAACGGCGCCAATGTGCTCAAGGGGCAGCTCTCAAACCTGGCCCATCATGACTCAAACAAAGAGTTTCTGGCGTTTCCCAAATCAGGAAGCAAAATGTTTTGTTCCTAACAGGCCCGCCGAGGGGCGAGGGACTTGAAGAGTCATCTACACTGAAAAGAGACTTGCAAGAATTTAAATATAAAACTTTTTCTTTTTTTTTTTTAAACAAACAACAGAAACGAGGATTTAAAGTTCAGTTTACTCAGTTCAGCGGACAGACTTTGCTCATTGCTATTCTGAAGATTTTCTCCTGGCTGCGACTTTAAGGGATCAATGTCGTGAAAGTTATTTAATTTCCATGTCCCAAAAGCACGTATTATAGCGTAGACCTACTTAAAAAGTTTACATCCGAAAGTTTACAAACGGGAAATTATGATTCAGATTTAATTTAAGGCATGCCGATATTAGTTATAAAGACTTTTCGAGAGTTTTTCCTCCTGATTTCCTTGTTAGCATATAATTCACAAACAGCACTTCTACTAAGTTTACACCTACTGCACAAATTTATCTTGACAAAAAAAAAAAAAAAAGAATATGTTAAAAGGTATGCTCACTCCAATAAATTGTCTGTTTCAGAGGTAACACAAGTGGTGGCGTTTTGCATTGGGCAACAACTTTTATGTCTCAAATTGCCCCTTGGAGCCTGTCCCGGTAATTCCAAGGACTGTCAACAGGCTGCCGGGAAAGGGGAAGAGAGGCTCAGCGCAGCGCTGCCGCGGGATTGAGGACGGACCCGCGGGAGGGATGCTGCGCGCAGGAGGGATGCTGGGCTGCGCCCCACTCCGCACCGCGCCTCCGCGGGGCAGCGCCGAGCCCCGGTCGCCGCCCGGGCCGGTAGTGGGGGCCCGACGGGGCGGGAGCACCCCCGCTTCCCCCTCCCCTCCTTCCCGAGCTGCGGGCGGGCGGGGGTCGGCCCCCAAGGGCCGGGCTCTGCCGCGGCGTCGCCTCCGCCGTGCGCGGAGCAATTGATTCACATGGAAAATTTGATCTTTTAAAGAACCGTTTTAGCTTTCCAGCTCTTCTGCCAGTGCGGAGAATCGCTGATCCGCCATGAATATTTCAGCACTTCAGTACAGATGCTTTACCGTTTTGACATTAAATAGAGTGCAGCCAACAAAAAGAGAGAGGGAGGAAGAGCGCTCTCGACGTGTGATTCAGGAGCACTCTCAGCCAATTTACCACTTAGATAACAGGCGCTTAAAAGATTTCATTTCCTTCCCCGGAACGGGAACAAACTTTACTGATCCTCGGACCGGGAGAGAGGGAGAACTGCTGGAAAAGAAACTGCAAGGCAATAACAGATCCCGCTTACCCAGGTCGGCCTAAACCCCCTGAGCTCCGGTGCCCGGCGCTGCGGGGGAAAATCGGGAGCGCCCGAAGGACCGAGCTGACACCGGGACAAGCAGAAGAGTCTTCCTTGCCTCCCAGAATTCTCGTCCATCCCATTTTCGGCTCCCCACCAGCCCAGTCTCCTCCTCCCCCCAATAAATAAATAAGAATACAATACAGGGAAAAAATATATTTGTAAAAGCAACTATAAACACAACCAAGACAACACTCAGTCAAAATATAACATACTCCAACCCGCGAAGTTTCTAGCGAGACCTGTTAGTGTAAGGACTGAATAAAGGAATCCGGGTGTGGAGATCAGATCAAGCCCTTCCCCTCTCTGCGAGCAGCCGTAATTGGATTGTATCCAGTCATATTCCCTGTCATTGTATTGACTTTCGCTCTCTTGGATGATATTATCGAGATCACTGAACCCCTCTGCTGATCTGGCTGTCAAAAGGCTCAGACAGGAGCCCCCGGCCTGGAAAACGTGCATCAGCCGAGATAATTTGAAGTGAAATTTTCATTTTGACAGTAAACCCCTCAATTTCTAAAGGCTCTGCACCCGGAGAGCTCTGTGGCAGGGGGAGGCTTTATAGAAAGCCCACGTCTTAAACTGAAAAGGGCAAAAGAACTCGAATTAGTTGTAATAGATAAAAGGGCAAAAATAAAGAGTCAAGGGTACTTGACAGTAATAGCGAAAGTGGAGTCTCCGGGGAGCCGCGATCTGAGCTAAAGGCTGGGCCGGCAGGAATTTTAATGCAGCCGGGGTGGCCGGCGAGCTTTGCCTCTGAAACCCTTTAGACAAAGCAAATTATTTTCAGTCAAACTAAGGAGATGGGGATGAAGGAGGCGAAGGAGAGGGAAGGCGGGAGAGGCTAGTGTTCGGGCTGTCCTCAAAACACTGGTAGAGGCAAGTGGGATGGGGCATAAACCCCTCTGACTGCTGCGATTGTGATGTTAAAGCGGGGAGGCTTGTGTGGGCCAGCCTTGCTGGATATGCAGGGACTGGAGGGGACAAGGTGGCTCCCGATGGGCTTCGGTTTCCATGCGACAGAGGCTCTGTGGAGTGGAAGGGGACTCCAGTCTTGCTCCCAACAGAGCGACAGCCGAGTGTGTGTGTGTGGACTTCGTGTGTGTGCACGGAGAGGTCTCCTCCACCGAGCAGTCAAAAATCTTTCTCAGCCTGAATATCGTCCTGACTTTGCGGAGTGCCGAGCACCGCTGGTCACCCTGGGCTGGTTCTCGGCGGGTGAACCCGCACACCAATATAAGTCATTGCTGGTCGGCTTTGGTTAGATTAGGGATGTAATTTGGACATCCCGTTGTTTGGGAGGCAACACCCGCCCTCTCCCCCGCCCCCTCTGGACTTAAAGGTGATAACACTGTGGGCAAAATACAGTCGCACTGAAACACCAGAAGCCAAAAGAAAAGCGGATCAACCCTTAATCCCTTCATTTGCATATTACTGTTGTTATAAAACGAGTTTGAGTAAGTTTATGCCTGCTGTATAACAAGAGCAGGGCTCTTCCGACCAGGGGACCGGCCGTATATGAGGACTGATCTGCCTGTGCCTATGTGCGCTCATGCCAAAACACTGACCATCCTGAGAGGAGACTGTATCAGTTAAAGGGGCGGGAAAAGAGTTTCTTGTTTTGGTACGTGGACCTTATAACTTAGATCAGCCATCAAATGCAGTGGTCTTACAAAAGCACTGGGGGTTTTGTTGTTTGGTTGTTTTGGTTTGGTTTTTTTAAAGTATGGGGGCGGGGGGGAAGAGTGTGGGAAATTAATTTTGCCATTTGATTCAATAGCACAAGTCAAAGATCAGGTTCAGTTGGTTTAGAGGAGGCTGCAGGGCTGAAAGGGAAAGCTGTGCAGCTCATATGACTGTACGAAGCAGAAATATAGAGGCAGGCTGAGAAAAAAAGAGAGGAGGGGGAAAAATCATAGAGAAACGGCTTGAAACTGAGAGACTCTAAATCATTCAGCCATGGCAAATTCAAACACACAAAGGAGGGGATGCTAAATTAACAGTGCTTTTTACATAGAGCCCAAATAAAACTGTAATCAGCGACGCGTTACTTTTCATTAAGCGAGTTTGACAGGAGCATATTCAGCCTCGACAAGGGAACAGGAGCGAAGAAATATACGGCTCTCCCAGCTCGAGTCATAAGATAATTCCTTAAGCTCCATTAACAACTCTTAGCCGCAGGAAATGGGCTCCCTGAAAACATCTCCAAATCTAAAAGCTTTATCGACCTCTCAAACCTCTGCTGATGGTTCTATTTTTTTAAAAAAACTTAGAGGCGAGACGTCCAGCAAGGTAATAGACTTTGACACAACACCTTCTTAACTAGAGAGAGAGAGGCAGGGAAAACGAGACCTTAAATGATATTTAAAAGGCAGCCAATTAAGATTTAAAATGATTGTCTCCTGAGATTATGCATGCGATTTATGTCATCCACTTTTTTTCCCAGACATGCATGCAAAATTGCAATGGGGCATAATGCCTGTTCCTTAAATGATGAGGATGATGATAATAATAATAATAATAGAAGAAACAGTAACAATTAACAATCTGTAGCTATCTCACGTAATTGTAAAGGCTAAACTAGGAAAGGGCTGGCTGATTATAAAGGACCTTGCAACAGCCAACTTATTTATAGGTGTCTAATTAAAAGACAGATAGATTAAATGATACACACATTGTCTATTAATGTTTAGGAGCACATTTCTTTTCATCCTGAGTGCATATTTGACTATTAAAGTCACATAATTGGTCTATAATCACAGAACCCAGTGTAGCAGCTCCTTCCCATCAGCCACATGGAGAGGTGTCCAAGAAGACTTTGTCTTGGCATGAATTTGAACATTAAATATTTTTAAGATATAATGGTTCAGAAGGAGACTCTGACTTACTACCGTCTTTTTTATATACATTTGCCTTTTCCATTTAAATGAGTGTGTGAAAGTGTATCCAGTTAAATGCCAAAAACAAGTCAATGCTCACATTGTACCATTTCATGCAGAAATTCTGTAAAATGCAAGAAAATATTATGACTTGCTGATTTTGCAAGGGATCAGAACCTGTTTCAATGAGTGTGATTTGTAGATAAACAGGGTGAAAAAGAATCATTAAAACACCACTGTGTTTTGACCAAAGGTCAAAATGTTTAGGTTCCCACTTAGATGAAGTTAGTTCTGGTTACAAAGCATGGAGGAATGTTAATTGTCAATTTATACACTTTTATTTGCCTGGTTAAAAAAAAAAAAAAAAGTAATAATTGTGCTTGCCCTTAAAGAGGAAGATATTTTTAATGAAATAGCTAATGGTCAAAACACTGGTCCTGGAAGTGTGACATTTGGCATGTTTTAACTCACATGTACTATCAAAAAGTCTACGAGGTGCTTAGGACTTGTGGGAAGAGTTCTCTTCATACTCCTTGTGAAATGGCATCACTGCAGAAAATAATTCCAGATTTATAGGACCCTCAAAAGGCAATTTGAATACACACACCAACTATATGTGTATGGACACCATTTAGTACATAAACCATTGGTCTCCTGTGCCATATGACTATAAAGTAAAACCTTAATTTGGTTTAGAACTTGAAGATACGTTTAACATAACCAGAAGAACCAAGGGAAGAGGAAATGCTTGGGAGCAATTACAGTGCAATTGCTTCCCCATGTGCCCCAACTACATTGAGAAATGGGACTGGGTTTTGGGAGGAAGCAAAGAAGTCTCCATGAGACCTAGAGAAAGTGCATAAATGCAACCCCTGCTGGTATCCTGCTTCCCACAGTGGGAAACGTGGACTGTGCATGAGAACAGGGATTGACCTACTTACAAGGCTCAAGAGCTATTTCTTGTCCATCCTAGTTTAAGAAATGCATGAAAATGAAGGAAATATCTTGAAGGAAAGTGTTCTCTTAATGTTCTTTTTTTCCTCCTGACATTAAAAAATCCTGTTACTCATTCATTTGGCTAGACAAAAATGAGGGCATAAAAATCTTTTTCTTCTCAGTTTTATGTCTATTTCCTTTCTCCAAATCAGCATGTCATTATTTAAATTTTGAAATGGGTTTCAGAAGCAGTTGGTGAGTATTTTGTCAGTGGTTTCCATGGAATCATAATCAGGCCATTTTTCAAAGACTACCTCAGGAATCCTTTCTGAAGTACTCCAAAGGATGACAGTGACAATGAAATGGAACCAAGGAAACACGTACTTTCAACAGTATTTCTTTGG